GAATTAAAAGGTTTAAAAACTCTAAAAAAAATACTCAAATTTAGATTTTAAATTATGAAGTTTTAAAAGTTTTAAAAAAATTGTTGCCAAAAACGCCCAATGTATAAAAATAATTTAATATTTTTTTCACACAATATTTTTAATTCGTAAGATGGTGCCATATGTTTCATATAATATGTCTTCTGTAATTATATACATTAATGAGTATTAGGTAACAAATGATCTAGAAATTATTTACCAAATAAAAACTATAAAATAAAAGTAAATATCAACAATGTATTAAGTATTGCTTGATTTTCTTTTTCAATGTGAACATGTAAAGTTCAATATAACTCCATGGAAACTTGAAATAAAGAAAAGCATAAAGGAATGGACACGATTTTTAAATAATTACTTCAAAACAGTTCAAATAAAAAAAAAATTGCTGCTAAGTCATAAAAAGATGAAATTAACTTAAATTAATGTACCGAGGTTATGAAAAAGTAGCAATAATTTAAAAAAGGAATTATGGGTGAGGTAAGGCCGAGCCCACGAAATTGATAAAATAATATTATCACATCTAAAATTTTTAATCGTAAAAAACAAAAGCTCGGTGAATTAGATATTAACATCTTTATAAACACATACATTATCTTATTATTATTATTATTATTATTATTATGTTTCATTTCAACCGAATTATAAAGACCGAGATGTTTAATATTATTTCTTGTAAATTGTGCACATCCTCATATCGTTTCAATATTGACAATTCATGTTAAATGGTTTTATTAAAATTAAATGAAGATGATCCGATTAGTGTGATTATAAAACTAAGAGGGGCGGGTGTAGGCAACGCCCGTATGGCGTTATCCGATATGGCAGCGCCATAACGGGGAACACCCCCCCCCCTCCCGTTATTACACGTTATGTTATCTCGCGTGATGGTGGTAACGTATGTTAACTTGTAGAAAATCGAACGTTTGCAAAATCAAACCGTTTAAAAACGGTAACTTTAATTAAAAAAAATTTACTAATTACATTTTCATTATTATATATACCTCATTCTTTTTACTACACATATTTCTCTATATATATCTCTATTTCTATATCACTCAAAACACAAACACAAAAATCAACCAACTATGGATGAATTTGATCCGGCACATCCGTACAATGATGATAACGACGAAGACGCTTTGTTCGTGAGTATGATGTACCGGTATTACACAGACAGCCTACTACAGCCAGATCCAGCTCCACTACTCACGCGACGTGCGGCGTTAAATAGAGATCGTGAGGAAGGGCATAGACGGCTAGTTAACGATTACTTTGCGGAAAATTGTGTCTACCAGCCAAGCGATTTCAAAAGAAGATTTCGTTTGCGAAAAAATGTCTTTGAAAGGATAGCCAACGCTATGGAAGCAAGACATCGTTTGATTCAACTTTTATAATTTACAAAATGTCACTTTTAGATAAAATAAATACAATTTTTACATGTTTAATATTTATTTAGGTATGAATTTTTCCAAATGAGATATGATGCTAGAGGCAAACGAGGCTTCACAGGGTTGCAAAAATGTGTTGCTGCAATTAAACTTATGGCAATGGGGGAGTCGCCCGATTCTGTTGACGATTATATGAGAATTTCTGAGAGGACCGCACGAGAAAGTTTGTATTTATTGGCAAGAGGTGTTGTCGAAACCTTCAGTGACCAATACTTGCGCAAACCTTCGTTGCATGATATGCAAAAACTATATGCGGCGCATGAAGAAAGACATGGTTTTCCGGGTATGCTTGGGAGCATTGACTGCAGACACTGGAAATGGAGAAATTGCCCCGTGGCGTGGAAAGGCCAGTATTCGAGCGGTCATCATGGAGCGCCTTCGTTGGTATTAGAGGCTGTTGCTTCACAAGATTTATGGATTTGGCATGCTTTTTTCGGGGTTGCGGGTTCTAACAACGACGTCAATGTTCTCGATCAATCACCAATATTTGACGATCTTTTGTCAGGAAAAGCCTCGGATGCTCCTTTCACAGTGAATGGAAATGAATATAAGTTTGGGTATTACCTTACAGACGGAATATATCCACAATATTCCACGTTTGTGAAGGCGTTTCGACACCCAATAGATCCAAGGGACAAATATTTCAAGAGACGACAAGAAGGAGCTCGTAAGGACGTTGAACGTGCTTTTGAAATCAAAATGGCACATAGTTGAACATGCGGCGAGACCTTATGAGTTAGATACTCTACGATATATCATGTATGCATGTATCATAATGCATAACATGGTTGTCGAAGATAAAGGACGCAATATTGCAACGTATTCGCCTACGGAGCCAAGACATGTGCAATTTCAACCAGGGACATCGGAATATTTACATAGAGTGGTTGATATTCAAGATCAGTGAAAACACAAGCAACTCCGTGAAGACTTGGCGGATTACATCTATGTTGGTCACGAAGAAGAAGATGAATAGTTTTAGGCCAAAAAATGTAGGTTTTATCATCTTTTTTTTGGCTTTTTAGGTTTTTAAATGTTTTTGGTGTTTTGTTGTAATTTTTTTAATGTTGTTTTTAATTTAAGTTTTATTAAAATTTTATTTTTACTTTTCAAATATAAATAAAAAAAAAACAAATTCGAAATATAGAAAAAAAAACATAAAATAAAATAAAATAAAATAGAAAATAATTGGTGTTATCACATGTTATTAGATGTTGCCCATTTCCACATTGGGTGTTATAACACCAAATTGTGACTAGGATGATGAGGTGAACAATTTGGGTGTGATAACATGTAATAATATGTTGCCCACACCTAGTAGTCTAAGGGATAATATTATCGGTTAGTGTTTGAAATTTTACAATATTTTGAAATAACTTACGGTAAAGTTATATATCTCTCTCTTTTTTTTTACAGAAAATAACAAGATATCAGGTTAAAATTTGAAAAAACTTCTTTTTTTTGGTTATTATTTTTATTATTTTTTTGTAAAAAATATGAATATCTCTTTAATTACACCAAAATATTAGAATTTTCTGATAATAGTTCTTATATTATTGATAACTTTTGTTAAGGGATGCGTTTAGCACAAAGCTTTTAAAAGGTTTTTGAGAGATTTTAAGAAAAAACTTCAATATAAAAAAATTTCTTTTCGCAACATAATCATTTAGCTTTTATTTTAAACAAAAAGTCTTGAATCCATAAGCTACTTCAAGTAGTTTTTAGTTTTTCAAAGCTTTTTCGCTTTTAGTTTTTAACAAATTTACATATATAAAAGTTAACATCTATTTTTGCCAAACAATTCTACATAAATAAAAATTACAACTTCCAACTACTTTTTCTAAACACGGCCAACATAATTATGTCTTCTATAATTTGGTTATACCATTTAATAATTATCATAAAAACTATTTTTGTAGATGTAAATTTGAAAATTCACATCCAAATGATGCAACTCATATTGTTCACGGATTGTTGTTTTTCATAACTTTTATTACATAAAACATATGTCTGTGGTAATACACAAATGTCTTCTTAGTTAAATCAATTTGGTGCTTTTAGGTTGATTCCAACGTATATGTAGGGCTGACAAATATGTACCACGGAAAACCAACCAACATGTTACCAACCGAACTAATAAAATCGGTAGCCAACATGTTTGGTTGCCAATATGTTTGGCCGGTAATACCATGTCAATTAAGTAGTCTTGGTACGGTAATGGTACAAAATTTTGAATACCATGGTTGTACCATACCAACCAATTCATATATATATATATATATATATATATATATATATATATATATATATCAATTATTCCATTTTTCAAGTTTTAGTTAGGAATAACAACTAACAAGTAATGGTCGGAGTTACTAATATAATTCTATTGATATTGATTCTTTTTTGAACGAAATGATGGTAAAAGAAATTACTAATACAAGGTTAAGGAAGGTACAATAACACTAAAATGATTTACTTAACACAAACGATGACCACAACTTCAGCTCATATTCATGTTTAGAAAACTTTCTAACCATTCAGTGATGATTATAACATGAAGGCTTATATAGATTATCAAGTGTCAAACTCTTCAAATATAGATATTATTTAAAAATTTTGGTATATACCAATACCAATCTGTACCAACCAAATTTGTTGGTAGCCAACTAAGTTGGTACCAAGTATCGTTGGTATGATATTGGTAGATAAAACTTTATGTCAACTATAATTGGTACGGTACATGGTTTGGAGGAAAAAAATTTGGTACCGTACCAATTCCACCCCTACGTATATGTATTGTATAGAACTAGAACTAGCATTATCAATATATATGTAGCCTTGACCACATACAATAATATTATAGTCAAAGTTTCTTATCCCCACATGATCCGGTTGAAATGACATTTCACAACAAAAATAAGGCAACCGATAGAAAACGAAACCCCAATTAGGTTACTCGTGAAGTCTCAAGTAAAATCATAGCTTTTAATAGACAACTAACATACTTTTAATTAATCTTAGAAGTTTCAAGACTCCTTTAATCGAGCAAAAATATAGAACAACGTAACAAACACACTTTAAATTAAAATGAAGCATGTGAATAATTGGATTTAAACACATGAAACTTCATTGAATGTGGATGTAATATTCTGATTTCTGACATTTGTGATCACATCTCCTTAGTTGCCGGGTCAAGTAAAGTAAGAAGAACTAACCACACCCACGGGTTTGCTTAATTTCAGGATCCCTGAGTTGTGCTTGCATTAATTGCTTTTAGTTTTTATCCATTTATAATTTCCGTTTCAATAGCTTATATATTTTACATAATAAAGTTTAATTTAAAATATATAATAATATAAAATAAATTCAGGCGAGATTTCTGTTTTATAAAAAAAAATTAAATAACACCCCAACACATTTAAACATTAAAGCTGTTATAAGCTTCATCCCCACCGTTCCCATTACTTATACTGTGCCTATGTCCCACGGTATATATGTGACCAATCTCCCCCTCCCTCTCTCTCTCTCTCTCATAAATTCTTCCTGAAACTTCCCCTGTTTTAGTTTCACAAACAAAGAGAATTTCAGAAGACACACTTTTTGACCTGAAACAAAATGGCATCTTCTTCTTCTTCTTGCAACACCATTTTTTTGGGTTTTTTCGTATATCTGTCTCTCACACACCTTACAACCTTCATTTCTGCTAATAAGGTTATTTATTCACTTATATCACTTGTAATTTATTTCCTACTTTTCTTCTTCTTTAATTTCATTTTGTTTCAGGTGTATGTTGTGTACATGGGTAGCTCCGACAACCAAGACCCGGATCAGATTTTGACCCGAAACCATCAAATCCTCACTTCTGTTCATAGCGAAAGGTGGTCTTAATCGTTTTATTTCTTTCTTTCTCTCGTCTTTTTCCCGAATAGGGTTTTTGAAATAATTTGGAGGTTTTGCATTTTTTGATTTTTTTTTTACAGTGTTGAAGAAGCTAAGGCTTCTCACTTGTATAGTTATAAACATGGGTTTAAAGGGTTTGCGGCTAAGTTAAATGACGATCAAGCCCTTCAAATTTCGAGTAAGTTCAAGAAATGGCATTACACATTTGCACTTCCCACTTCTATTTATTTGTTTATTATATTTATAACTACTTACTACTATTATTTTGTAGAGATGGAAGATGTGATATCGGTGTTTGAGAATAAAAAGAGGAAGCTACACACAACACATTCATGGGATTTCATTGGTCTTGGAGAAGAAGAAACCATGGAAATCCCGGGATTTTCCACAAAGGAGCAAGTTGATGTCATCATTGGTTTCATTGATACAGGTGGGATTTCCGATTTCGTATAAAATTAAATGATCCCTTTTATTTATTTTGTAATTAAGATTAAGATGTTGGATTTTATGATAGGAATTTGGCCGGAATCCCCAAGTTTTGGCGATTCCGACATGCCCCCTGTGCCACCGGAATGGAAAGGAATATGCCAATCTGGGGAAGCATTCAACGCTACAAATTGCAACAGGTTTTCTTCAATCATTTCCATATGGGGTTGCTTTAACTTTTAATCGGATAACCCTAAATCAATGTTTTTGTCGAAATTCATTTGATTTAATTAAATTATTTTTGCAGAAACATTTCATTTACTATCTATTTCGCAAGATAAATAATCATTTCACAAAATACGAATTACTATTTGGCAAAATACGAATAATTTGGCAATACATGGATTCTTTTGGAAAAATAATAGTTTCTTTCTTTTCCACAAAATATAAATTGTTTTGCTAAATAATAATTTCCTTTTTCACAAAATAGAATACAAATAATTATTTCGCATATGAATAATTATGCACAAAATTATAATTTATTTTTTTTCTTGCAAAATATGCATATAACTATTTCACAAAAAATATCCTCATTTTTTTTTACTTGAAATAGGAAATTAATAGGAGCAAGATACTACCACATGGGCTACGAAGCCGAACAACAACAACAACAACACAACAAATTAAACCAAAAACATCTCGAAAACACAGACGACCCAAAAAAGAAACTATCATTCAGGTCACCAAGAGACAGCAATGGTCACGGGACCCACACCGCCTCCACCGCCGCCGGCCGCTACGTGGCCATGTCCTACAACGGCCTGGCCGGCGGCGGAGCCAGAGGCGGTGCGCCCATGGCCAGGATTGCTGTCTACAAAACATGTTGGGATTCCGGTTGTTACGATGCCGACATTTTAGCAGCTTTTGATGATGCAGTTAGAGATGGGGTCCACATTGTGTCATTGTCATTAGGTCCCGATGCACCTCAAGGGGATTATGTCAGTGATGCGATTTCCATCGGATCTTACCATGCGGTTAGCCGTGGGATTACGGTTGTTTCTTCTGTTGGGAATGAAGGGGGAAAAGGGTCGGCTACTAATTTAGCTCCTTGGTTAATTACCGTTGCTGCTAGCTCCACTGATAGAGAGTTCACTTCTAAATTACAAATGGGAAATGGTGTTACTTTAAAGGTATATAATTATTTTGATTTTTGATATAAAAAAATGTCGGAATTTTAATTTTTAATATATTTTTTTTTGGATTAAATAGGGGGAGAGTCTTGGTGTGTATGAAATGAAGGCACCTGCGAGGATCATATCGGCTTCAATAGCAAATAGGGGTTTCTTCACCCCTTACCAATCCAGGTGAAAAACAGGTACTTTTGTTTTGTGATTTACAAAAGGGTTAAATGCAAGAAATAGCAACTTACTTTTATAAAAAAAGTATTGATATTTCTGGCATTTAGCCCTTTTACAAAGTAGACATTATTCTAGTGTCAAAGTGTTGATTATTGTCTTTTTTGTTTTAGCTATTGCTTAGAAAGCTCATTAAACCACACAAAGACTAAAGGAAAGGTGTTGTTATGTCGACACACGGAAAGGTCAACAGAGTCAAAGCTGGCAAAGGGCGAAGTGGTAAAAGCAGCGGGTGGGGTAGGAATGATCCTCATAGATGAATCTGACAAAGATGTTGCAATTCCATTTAAATTCCCAGCTGCTATTGTTGGAAAAAGAATGGGAAACAGAATTCTATCCTACATTAATAACACACGGTTTGTTACTTTTACAGTTTTACTTTACTTAATTACTTATTATTAATCTTTTAATTATTATATTCCAAATATAATTTTAACATTTTTCATCTACCTATAGCAAGGCGACAACAAGGATTTTCGCATCAAAGGCTAAAATAGGATCACAACCTGCCCCTCGTGTAGCGTCATTCTCTTCTAAAGGTCCTAACGCTCTAACCCCAGAAATTTTGAAGGTAACGTTTTATTATTATTATTTTTTTTAATAAAAGTGGAACTGATTCATTATTAATTTATTATCTGTTTTGTATTGTAGCCTGATGTTACAGCTCCAGGGTTAAATATCCTTGCAGCATGGTCACCTGCAATTGGAAAAATGAAATTTAATATTTTATCAGGAACTTCCATGGCGTGTCCACATGTAACTGGAATTGTAGCTTTGATCAAAGCCGTTCATCCTTCATGGTCTCCATCCGCTATCAAATCTGCAATCATGACTACAGGTAAATTTAAAGAATTAAAAAACTTTTATTGTGAAATTAAAATCAAAGAATCTGATATAAACAACAAAAATTGCAGCTACAGTATTTGACAAGAAAGGAAACCCGATAAGAGTTGACCCGGAATCAAGAAGAGGGAACGCCTTTGACTATGGATCGGGTTTTCTTGACCCGACAGCTGTCCTTGATCCTGGCCTTGTATACGATTCAAATCCCACAGATTACAAATCGTTTCTCTGCTCAATTGGTTACAATCAAAAAATGCTTCACACAATAACGAGAGACAACACTACGTGTAAAAGTAAACCATTTTCAAATCACCCCTCGAGCCTCAATTACCCTGCAATTTTAGTACCCAATTTAAAGTCAACGTTTTCAGTGACAAGAACGTTGACCAATGTTAGAAACCTAAAACAGAAAATGAGTTACAGTTATAGAGCAGTGGTGTCGACCCCACTTGGGATTGAAGTCGATGTGCACCCGAGAAGATTGGTCTTCAATAGATATGGTCAGAAAATGAACTTCACTGTAACTTTCAGGAAAAATTCTGCACCTTCTCAAGGTTATGTGTTTGGTTATTTGCAATGGAAGAATAGAAAGACACGTGTTACTACACCTTTGGTTGTTCGAGTTGTGCCTTCTAACTTGGGGGTAGTTGTGTAATTAGGATTGAAAAAAGATTTAGGTTACAAGAGTTTGTGGTAGTGGGTAATGGGTATACGAATATGTTTTCTTTATTCTGTTTTGTTTTGTGCAGTTTTTTTTTAGAACATATGGTTGGTTTTGGTTATGTATCTATTGACACAAAAAACATTGTAAATGCTGCATTATTTGGGGTTATATCAATTATCAAATACAAAAACAACATTTTTCGCACTAAAATGATAAAAATGGTGTAATATTTGGTGCAAAAAGTACTTTCCATTTGACTCATTACACCATTTTTAACATGAGAGAGAACATTTATATTTATTAGCTTTTTACAACTTTGACTCGTTATATAACTTTATATACATAATAGATTTATGTCAATTTAATTTATAATGTAACATTACATATAGAATATTATTAGTATTAATAATAAACTAAAAATACATAAATTTAAAGTTAAATGATCAAACTATAAATAGTACACCCTATTTGGTTTTATAATATTAACAAACACCAAAATGGTGTAACAAATGATGTAAGGAAGGCAAGATGTATTCATCGTTTAAGAAAAAAAATGAGTTAGCATATGAAACATCATACCACAATTAAGAACAATTAGTGGTGCATGAAAAAAAAAACATAATCGAGCAAGCTGAAAGTAAAGAGAAGCAAAGGTAAGCTTGTACATTAGACGTGACAAAAATTGACACAATCTGAAACCCGACACGAAATCGACAAAAAATAAACAGGTTTGGGTAAAAGATTTTGACACGTTTAATTAAAAGGGTTGACATGACACAATACATAAATTAAACGGGTAAAGTTAAGATTAAGATTTTCAACTACTAGAATATAACCCACTTATTTATATATAAGATTATAAGTTTGTATAAAATTTTAATATTTCATAAATATATATCATATATATTATTTTATGATGGATTGGGCTAATCTTGTTTGTATTAAAGCGGGATAGATTAAAGAAAAAAAAAAGGAATAGTGTTTGACCTAATTTCCTTCCCTTTCCATATCACCCAAAGCACAAAGCCACAAACACACTTCGTCTTTCTTCTTCACTCATTCCGTCCTTCATTCCACTGGGAATCATAATAAGTATCGCCCCTCGACCTTGCAGTTTGAATTTCTAATGCTTTTCAGCTTTTGGTTATTTCTTTAAAGATATAAATTTGGGTATTGGTTTATGCTAAATTATACCGATTACACGGGTTATATTGATTAAACAGATTAAAAAAATAAATTTTGAAAATAAACAGTCGTGTCAGGTTACACAAGTTTAAACGTGTCGTGTTATGACCTGACCCTGTGTATTAAATAGGTTGTGTCTGTGTCAAACAATTCCAACCCATTTAACATTCAACGTAACACGACACGACCCGTTTGACACCTTTATTTAGTGCCCATGCTTGAAGATTTCTTTCAAATAAACCTTGCCTTCCATTTCTTTATCGGCTGATAAATTAGGCAACAAAAAATCAAAAGGAAGGAAATCAAGAACCAAAGGAATAAAAGTCCAAATGTTTTGGGTTTTTTTAACAAACCGATTTCATGCAATCCGGTTTTGATTCGGTCCGAACCGGTTTGTATAAGATCGAGTATTTCCCGGTTTTAGTCTAAACCGGGTTTGACGTTTTTGACCTCATCCGATCCAGTTTCAAAACCGAAACCGTTTTACCAAAAAAACCGGTTTGCGCACCTCTATCTAGAGCTAGAAGTTCATCAATGCACATTATAAAGCCCAAACTGAAATAACTAAAAAGCCCGTAAGCCCAAAATATGTAGGGTTGTAATCTAATCAAACAACGAGACTCATACGCTCGAAACGCCTCTATAAACCAAGGTTAACCATAGGGTTTCTAATCTCACAAAGACGCCCTGATTTCTACAAATCTTGTTGTTACTCGAATTCCAGCATCATTTAGATCTAAGAGTAAGTATGTTCATCTGTTTGAATAATTCATCTGTTTGATTTAACATTCAACAAAAAATAAATATATAGCTGCATTGTACCAAGAATTAGGTCCATTGATACCTTTGTCTTGATTGCCAAATCGGCTGTAGCTAAATTTAGTCTGAAGTTTTACTGGCCGGTTGTCGTTAATCTCAGTCGATAAATCTGCTTACCGAATTTCATATATTCTCTCAATCACTTGTTCATACTTGATTTATGAAACTTGTTTCGTTTTTATCATTGATTTTTAATGTTCATTATGTGGTTTGCCTATTTTAAACAATTCTAACATTTTTTTGAACTGTCAAACAAAGTTTATAAAGATAACAATGCATCGATTCATGTTATGATAAAATACAAACTAGTTATAGATTATAATATATTTTCTTTAAGCAACAATTATTAATATACGCACAATAGGTTGGGTTTTAAAGTCTTTTTAAAATGATAACTCAGTATTAGGAGTTGATTGAAGCCAAGTTTAGGAGTTGGAAGGCAAATGTTGATTATTCAAATCTTGTTATTGACGAAAAATATGATTATTGGCAAAAAAATCTAACCGTTTACATGATAATGATCTTGAATGGTGGTGTTAAACTACCAACATTTTACCTAAACAAAAAAGTTGGTGTAATTTTAAGATGTGATATTTGATACTTTGAGATTGTGTTATGAAACCGACTGAAATGATTGCCGTTTATAAACCACGAGGGTGGCAAACATGACATGTTTAACAAACGGGTTAGAAAACCTTGACCTGAAAATGAGACGTTTAAACTTGTGTAAGTTGTTTATTTTCAAAAATTATTCTTTTAACTTGTTTAATCCGTATATCTGTGTAATCTCTGTATAATTTAGCATAAACCAAAAACCCAAATTTGCATGTCCAAATAAATGACCAAAAGCTGAAAAACATCATAATTTCAAAGTTCCAAGTACTCATCCTAAACAACCATTAAGTTTCATACTAACGTTGAACATAACTACTCAGTTTATTATAATCTTTTTTTTTTTTTTGAAACCGGCGGAATTTATTAAAACCACGGCCTAAAGGAAAAAGACCGGGCACAAGATTATTATAATCAGATGGAACTTTATATATATATATATATATATATATATATATATATATATATTCTAAAATAAGGAAATAGTGATGTAACTATACATATAATAGTTCAAGAACATAAAATTTATAAAATTAGGAAACAACTATGAAATTACTAACATAGTTAAGGCTGAGAGGGATGTGGAGGTTGTAACTGTGATGCTCAACGAACAAAAAACTAAAATGATTGAAAAAGGAGATGAGTCGGGGTGGAGGCTTGGAGAGCGGCAACACTTGCTATGATTTGTAGTGGAACAAAGGTCAAAACGAGTGAAGAAGAAGACAGAGTGTGTTTGTGGCTTTATGCTTTCGGGGAAACTAGAAAGTGAACGAAATTAGGTCAAACGTGGTTAAATGCATATTTTTATTAGCTTTTCAATACAAAGTTAACTCAATATTTTTTTAGCCAATCCAATATAAAATTATATATGATATACTCCTTACATAATTTTTCACATGAGAAAGAGCCTTATATGTAGCATTTTACAACTTTGACTTGTTATAATAACTTACGAAACAACACGAAAATTAAATGGGTAAAGTTAGGGCTAAGATTTTCAACTCGAGAATAACTCGAAGATAACCCGTTTATTTATATATAATTTTTTTATATTTTATAAATATATTATATATAATTTTATACTGGAATGGGCTGGCTTTGTTTGTATTCAAGCGGTATAGGAAAAAAAAGGAATGTATTTGATCATGTTTGACCTAATTTCCTACACTTTTCAGTTTCCCCAAAACCACAATCACACTTTGTCTCCTTTTTCACACATTTTATCTTTCATTCCACTGCGAATCATAGTAAGATCCGCCTCTCGGCATTGTCGATTTAATCTCGTCTCGTCTTTGTCACTCAATTCAGTTTTTGGTTCGTTGAGCATCACAACTGATTTCTCTGCGTCCCTCTTAACTTTAGGTATGTTAATAAGTTTATGGTTGTTTTCTGATTTCAAAAATTATGTGTTTAATCTGAGCTTTTATATGTTCAATATGTGTGTAGTTTCATGGCTATTTTCCAATTTCAAATATATAAGTACAATCTAGTATAATCTAAGTAGTTATGTTCAATTTGAGTATATAATTTTATGGTTGTTTTGGATTATAACCTTAAACTTTGAATTTCTAATGTTTTTCGGCTTTTGGTTATTTGGGTTTTTGGCTTGTGTTAAATTATATGGGTTACAAACTTATACGAGTTAAAAGGATAATGTTTCAAAATAAATGGGTTATCTGGGTTGTGTCGGGTTACACGAGTTTAAACATGTCGTGTTCATGTCGAGGCTTTCTTTCTGACCCATTTATTAAACATGTCGTGTTCGTGTCAAGCAATTCCAACCCGTTTAACTTTCGACCTGACACAACACCACCCGTTTGCAACCTTTATTTGGTGCCCCAATATTTCTTCAAAAAAAAAAATGCCTTGTGTTTCTTTCGTTATGGTTTGATGAATAAGGGAACAAAGGTCAAAAGGAGGAAAACAAGAACCAAAGTGTAACATCCGGGTCATGGAGGTAATTATTATTGATTTATAGCTTTTGGATGAGGCTCACGACGTGAGACATGGTGGTCACGTCATGAGTGGCCATTGACTAACTGACCCGTGTTTTTGAGTCTCGTGACGTGAGTCTATTGGTGCTCACGACGTGAGGACGGTCTGATGACCAAAACCTTAATATTTCGGGTATTTGATGGGATGAGAGGGTTAGGGTTGCCCATCCTTAGCCTCTCTCACTCTCTTGCCTCCTGAACACCCTAATCTCGACCTACTTGGAGTCCTTAGCCATTTTTGTTTCATTGAAGCTCTCTTTGGTGGTTTTTGTCTCACTGAAGTGGAAGAAGACCTTGGTGGAGCAACATCTTGGCTATCCAGCTTCTACCTCACCTTCTTGCAGAGCTTTTGGACCATTGTAAGCCATAAAGCTCTGACCTTTTTATCTCTTGCATGCTAGATCTAAGTGTTAAGCTCCTTTTTGCATGGTTGTGAAGGATTGCATGCATGGGATCCATAAAGTTGGCAACTTTATGGATCATTGAGGCATTCTTTGTAGTATAATCTTTGGATTTGAGTTTTTGAGTAGTTTTAGAATCCAAG